AGGTACAGGGATTATTAGGAAGACTTCCTGTTCAAATAGGTGGCAGAGTATGCTAGGTCCAGCTTGGTAAAACTCAAGGGGGACCTTTGTTTATTGATATGGAACCAGCTGAAACTTCAACTACATCCCTTGGCTTCCTGTGCCCCATTTTTTTTTTTTTTGGAAGAGGTTTCACTAAAACTCTATAAATTCCTTGTCAGATACTTATGAAAAGGCAACCAAAAGGCTCTTCCCCAGGCGGTTGGTTACAAATTCAGTCCAATCTCTGAGACTTGTCTACAAAATCTTAGCATAATATAGCCATTCTGGAGGTTCCGGAATAAAGATTTCTTTGCAGGAGTACATTGTATATACTAGGACAAGGGAAAAACAGAGAATTTTGGAAAGGATTTTTTCAAAAGAAGGATTGAACTAAAAAAGCATTTTCTGGTTTAAAACCATCTCAACCAGGGAATTTCAGAGAAAACTATGGCATTTTCCTGTCTCTGAAATGGTTCATGGGTTTAAAGTGGGGTTAAAAAAAAAAAGATTTTTATTTTTTTTAAATGTGAAAAAGCAGTAAACAATGTGATTATCTTTCTTATGGGCTATAGCTGGCAAGTTGTGGAACCTAAGCAAAATTTCTCTTGAAAACTTCCCCTCCCTCACTAAACCCCACAGGCTTAGTTTGATTTGTATTAGCATTAATTTCAATTTACGATAGGATAATTGAGTTCTTGACATATTTTTAACTTTTCTCAAGTCACCATGCATTATATCAGTAATTTATTTGCCTGTATTTCATGACCTTGAGAATTCTCATTCCACTTGGAGAAAAGTATGCAAAACTTTATACTTAATTCATTTGTCATGTTTATCCCTAAGGGTAACTGCTCTTATTGGCAGAGGGGGCCATGCATTTGTTAGTTTTAATTCTAAAGTAGTCCCAAGTTAGCATCTCAGTTTTGTGAGTACTCTGAATGGTAAGACTAACTGTGTATTGAATTGTTTTAAAATCCTTCTATTTCCCTTTTCCTTCACAAGCTGTTATTAGCTTTTTTTTTTTTGGGCTATTGGCTTAATTGGGAAGTGCTGGCATGTCCACCTCCTTACAGGTACTTTAAAAAGGAAATCTCATTGCTAGCTGAAATGCAGTGACCACACGTTGCGGCCTGGCAGATTTGTGTTTTATCATGATGCCTGCCTTTCTTGTGCCAACCCAACATTCCTTCCTTCCAGTGATTATTCCATCCCAAGATTCCCTGGGGTACTAGAACAGTGGTGTGCGGCTATCAATTACTAATCATATGGCATTGGGTTTCACTGCGGGACAAGGAGGACATTATGAACCCGAAGTAACTGATACATAACAGAACACTTCTCCTGAAGGAAAGCATTCTCTCACATTATTCTGTCTTTTGCAAAGGAACACAGCTTTGGAATTAGGACAAATAGAATTTGAATCTCCCTTCAGCCAACTTAGAAGTGGATTGACCTTGGGCAAATTGCTAAACCCTTATACACACATTTCATCTATTAATTGGTGCTCTGTGCATTCAATGGGGTGATTAAATTTAAAAGCCCACCCACTTTCAGAAAAGGTGTCCTCTTAGTCCCTTTCAGTTTGTGTTATTAATCCCCTAAAGAGGCAGTTGGCTGCTCACCTCCCTGTGAAATACCTTTACCACGCGATGCAGAGGACGGAAGGCCAAGGAAGGAAGGAAACCCGGAAATTCCAAGCCTGACCTGAGCAAAGGTGCAGATTTAGACTCGGAGGAGCCCTCCCACAGAGGACCAGGAAGGAGAACTAGAAAATGGAGCTTGGTTGACCACATGCCTTCTTTGCGGGCCAAAGTTCATTTACCAAAGCTACCACAGCTGGGGTGTTCACATCTTACATAGGTAACATCTCTTCCTCCTGACTTGCACAGTCTCTTGATCCAAATCTTACTTTTTCTTTCAATGGAAGGAGAAAAAGAGAAGAAACAGGAGAACTGTGTCTTCTTCATCTTTGATCTCTGCTCCCTCCACATTTTTTTAAAATGCAGTAACCGGATTCCAAGATGGCCGGCTAGAGGGAGGGAAGCAGAAAGCAGCCTTCCTATAGTGAAATCTTGGAGAGACCACTGGAGACACACTTTGCAGGCATAATCACTTGAAAGAGGCATAACTTTGACCCCTCCACACCTCCAGCCAGCGCAGAGCATTCTCCACTTCATTAACAGAGAAACCAGGAGGGCCCCAGGCCCGCCAGTCGCCCGCCCAGACAGCTTGGGAAGACGCAAACAAGGTGAGCTTCACAGTACGCAGCGGTACTCCCACAGACAACCTGGGCCAGAGCAGCATAGCCCCCTGGACAGACCTGACCTCCACCTGGGAAAAAAAGAGAAACTGAGTAATAAGCAATAAGAACAATAAAGACATGGGAAAGAGGGTGGGGCCCTGAGCGCCTGAAGATTGGGGGAAGGGAATCCTTCCCGACTGTAAATAAACAAGCCGGCGGGCCGAAGAGGCTCTGGCGGAGCAGGGCGCGCGCCCAGCAACCAGGAGGGAAAGCTTGTGAAGTGGCGGGGGGAGGAAAACTCCACAGGAGAGGGGGAAGACCCACTTCC